ATAAGATACAACAGGATAGAATCAATGGAAACAGAAGAACAAAAGCATGGTAGGACTTCAGAGTAACATGATATTAAATCAGCACTGGCTATTATAATGTCTTGTTTTCTTCAAAATAGCTGTTCATACTTTCACATATAATAAAATCAAACCAGGATAAAATCATTCCAACTAATAAATGCAAACATTATAAGGCTTCAAAGCAATGTAATAGGGAATCATGATTACTATAAACTCTTAGGTACTCTTACCTTTTTTTTTTTTTTTTTTTAAATTTATTTTTTGTCTTTTTCTTTTTTATCGGTACCGGGGATCGAACTCAGGACTGCCTGCTTGCAAGGCAGGTGCTTATGTCGCTGAGCTAAATCCCCAGCCCCACTCTTACCATTTCTTACACTAGGGAGGCTATATGGTATTTATACATGAGCGTTTGATTTATTTCACTTATGAATATGGTTTCAAGTTGCATCCATCTGGTTCTGGTTCTATACCCAGTACCACAAAAATAAAATACAGAAGACATATAAGCAGCTTTGTTGAAGAATAGTTCTAAAAATTTGACAACCATGTTTTCCATAAGAATAAAAGCAAAATTAGTTAAATGACAGCTTAAATTAAAAAAATAAAGGTTGCAAAAATCGGCAACCTAATATTGTTCTAAAAATTATTCAAATGAATTACACGTTAGAGGAAGCTAAACAACCAGTACTATTTGTCCCTCAAATCCCTCAGTCTCTAAGTGAAAGTTCCATCAAAAATAATTTCATAAAATAATTTTTTTCTCTTTTTCAATTTTAACCCTTCAATGCCCAGTGATCCATTTTTGGAACACTTATAACAATGAAACATAAATGAGAAAAGAAGAAAACACAGAAGAGAAGTTTTTTGTAAATGAGGAGAGGAGCAGAGGTTGAAGGGAGGTAGGGAAATGGAGAAAAAAAAAACAAGTTATATCATGTACAGGTATAAATTCCCTATGACGAATGTGATCATTATATATACCTAAAATGCACCAATAAAATCTGATTAAAAAAATAAAATCAGAAACAAGGAAAAAACCAGTGGCACATAATGAATTATGTTCTTTTCAAATTCATAAATTTTAGGGGGTGGGTGAGTACTGGGAATCAAACTCATGACCTCGCACTTGCCAGGCAGGCATTACGCCACTGAGCTATATCCCCAGCCCAGTCCTCAAATTCTTATTCTTTGAATTTTTCCAGGTAACCGTGTTGGTTACTTTTTTCTCACTGCTAGGACAAAATACCTGACACCCAAAATGAAGGAAGCAAGGTGTATTTAGCTCACAGTTTGTAGAGGTTTCAGTCTGTAATCAGCTGGGTCCAAGGCAGGGTGGGTGGCTCGTGACAAAGGGGCAACTATTCATGGTGAAAGAAAACAGTAAAAGCAACAAAAGCAAAAGGGGAGGAGTGCAAAGAAGACTCTTTCTGTCTGTTATATTGTATGTAGGCTATCTATCTTAAAGTAAGCGTAACACTCACATCCATAATCCCAGCACTGGACCACAAATCAATCACAGATTTTAGAAGACTACATAAGGCTTTGTGGAGACATCCAGGCACAAACCATAATAGTAACATATAAGAATTTCATGCAAAAATTAAAAATTTCAATCTATAGTGTTAATGGGTTAAAAATTGCCACATTCCCTATCTTTTAGAAAACACACAAACAATTAAAGAACAACTGAGCAAAGATTCAGCAAGCTGTTAAAATCTCATCTTTTAGCCACAATCACTCTTTTACCTCTCCTGTACTCAGAAGGGTCACTGAGCTGAACTCCACTTAATGCATTTGCAGAGTATATTGTGCATTTGCACTGTACGTGGTGGTGGGGTATGCTGCTCAAAAGAGAGCATTAAAAGGAAATTTAGTTGAAAATGAAAATCACAAAGCTAGCCGAAATTATCCAGGACAGCATGAAACCAGAAACCAAAGGTTTTGAATTTCTTTACCTCACCCTCAAGTGAAAACTGTTATCACTTTATAAAACTATAAAAAGATAAAAATAACTGAGACTACATAAAAAGACTTTTAACATCCTTAAGATGTCAATACTGTGCAATCTATAATCTAGATTCAATGATCTTCCTATTAAAATCCAGTGATTTTTCTGCAAAAAAAAAAAGGAAAACATCCTAAAATTCACATGGAATCTACAAGACCCTAAACAGCCAAAATAATTTTAGAAAAGAACAGTTCTTTTCAAAATTACTATAAAGTTACAGTAATCAAAACAGTATGGGGCTATGCTCAGTGGCACAGTGCTTGTGTGGCAAGTGCAAGGTTCTGAATTTGATTCCCAGTACCCCCAAACAAAAACACCTAATCAAAACAGTATGGCACTAGCACTAAAGCAAACATACAGACTAATAGGACTGAACAGACAGCCCAGAAATAAATCCTTAGGCATATGGTCAAGTGATTTTGGCAAGGATGCCAAAACCAATCAATGGAGAAAAAGCAGTCTTTTCAACAAACGACATTGGGAGAAATGAATACTCACAGGCAAAAGAATTGAGGTAGACCCTTACCTTAAACAAGAATCAAAACTTACCTCAGAATTAAAGACCTAAATAAATGTAAGAGCTAAAAGAAATGGGAAACCCTACATGATTTTGGATTGAGCAATGATAACATGTATATACCATTAAAAGCATAAAACAACAGAAGCAAAAATAGACAACATCATCAAAGTTTAAAAATTTTGCACATCATACAACATTATCAGTAAGTAAAAAGGCAGCATATGAAATGAGGAGAAAAATATTTTAAAATCCTGTTAATATCTGGAATGTATGAAGAACTACAACCCAACAAAAACCCCAATTCAAAAAATGGATAAAGGGCTTGGATAGACATTTCTTCAAAGAAGATACACAGATGTCCAACAAGCACATGAAAAAATGCTCAACATCACTAATCATTAGGAAAATACCAACCAAAACCACAGACACCTTTATACCCATAAAGATGGCTATTTTTAAAATGCAGAAATAATTATTTGGAGAAAATGTGGAAAAATCTAAAGTCCCTTAAGAGCTCTTGATGGAAATATAAAATAATATAGCCTCTATGGAAAACACTAGTGGTTTGTCAGAAGGTTAAACACAGAATTATCGTATGATTCAGAAATTCCATTCCAAACTATATTCCTAAAATAACTGAAGACAGGACTTGGATAATTACACACCACTACTTACAGCAGCATTACTCATAATAGCCCAAAGGTGGTAACAATCTTGAGTGTATATCAACAAATAAATGAATTTTAAAATATGGTGTATACACACAATGGAATATTACTTGGCTGTGAAGAGGAATTAAATTTTTGATACATATTATGAGCATGAACTAACCTCAGAAACACTACACTGTGTGCAAAGCAGAACACACCAGAAATGAAACAGCAAACATCTATGATTAAACTTATATACAGTAGCCAGAAAGGGACATTCATAGATAGAAAATCAAATAGAGGTTAGTAGGATAAGAAGAAAGGAAAACAGAGTTACTGCTTAGTGGTTCAGAGTTTCTGTTTTGAATGATAAAAACATTTTGGGAATAAATAGTGATCGTTTATACAACACTGCTGATATATTTAATAGACACTGGTGATACTTACACAGCAGGGTAAATGTATTTAACACCAATGAATGGTACCCAGTATGGTACAGATCTCCAGTGTCCCACAAAGGTTCATGTATTAAATGCCTGGTCCCAAGTTGAAGGCACTACTGGGAACTTGAGCAACCTTTAAGAGATGGGACCAAGTGGAAGGAAACTGCCTAGTGGAGGTTGCTGGGGTGTACCAACCAAGGGGATACTGAAACCCACACCCTCTACTTCCGGGCAGTCATGGGGTAAGCACTTTGTTCCACAACCATTCTCCCTACCATAATGTTTTGCCTAGCTACAGATCTAAAGTAACCGTTCCAGACAAAAAGCCAGCTGTCATAGTGCTGAGAGGCTAAGGCAGAAGGATCTCAAATTAGAAAATTTAGTAAGAACTTGTTTCAAAAACTTACAAAAGGCTGGGATGGTTCAATCCCCAGTATTGTAAACAAAAGAAAACAAAAAACAAAAACTATAGAAACTATATGAGGTGGTAAGAAATAAAAGGTCATTTAAAAAGCTTTGGCTATAGTACAGAAAAAATTACATACACCAAAAGCAGGCATGGTGGCACACACCTGTAATTCCAGCACTTGGAAGTTGAGGCAGGAGGACTGCTGTGAGTTTTAGGCCAGCTTGGGCTACATAATGAGTTCCAGGTCAGCCTAAACTACAACGCTGATGCAAATATATATATATATATATATATATATATCCCAGTATCTAAGTACTAATCCAGTAACTGTACATTTAAAAGACAGTTTCATTAAAAGTATCAATATGGATCTATAAAGCACTGAAGTATGAATACTGCAGTCAAGGTTATAGTCGGACAACCAAGTTAATGCAAACTATTACAAAGATTATTAAAATAGAAAAAAAAACAGAGAAATCATCTATTCTAATTTTTGCTGTTATAAAAAAAATAAAATGTAAAAGAATAAAATGCTGCTAGAGTCACCCCTGGAGTTATTCTCAAGGCATTTTACCTGCCAAGACATGAGCTTGGAAAAATCAGCAGCATATGTCCAAGCTAATTACAAATAAAATATCTTTTTATATTTAAAGATTCCTTAAAATTAGATATAAGGGTAGTAAAGAATCAGATGCCAGTAGAACTCAGCTAGTAACAACCTTCAAAATCAGAATGAATTCATTCTTCTAGTGCTAAATAAAATTTCAGAAAGAAGAAAAGGTTACCTATAAAAGTATCAGACACACGTGTAACAATGAGCTAAAATATGTCCTATTTCCATCTTGGCATCTGTAAATAAATAAATTCATTACTTGAGTCTCATGAAATATGTGCTATATACAAGGCCAGATCTTCAATACACATAAGCTTGACAGTATTTTGCACTTGCCTGTAGTAGCGTGACTGTAGGTATGTTGAACACACAGCTTTGGAAACATGACTGGCAGAACCGAAGTCGATGACCTTCACACGGTAGGGCTGGCGCACTGGATCCACCAGCATAATGTTTTCAGGCTTGAGGTCAGCATGGATCAGACCCAGGCTCTTGAGTTTCATCAGGGCTGTGGCTACCTGCTGTAAGATAGGCCTGATATACTTGAGTGGCAGTGGACTAAACTTATTCTGCTTCAAGAAGTCGTATAAGTTCTGCTCCAACATCTCAAACACAAGGCAGGTGTGATTCTTATGCTGAAAGCACTCATAAGAACGGACAAAATTGTACTCATCAGCATTTTCACTGCTCAGGCGGGACAGGATGCTCACTTCAATCTGGCCTTGTCTGGCGTAGGATGGGTGGTTCTTCAAGATTTTAATAGCCACAATTTCCTTGGTGCTCCGCTTCCAGCACTTAGCCACCTGCCCAAATGTCCCTCGGCCTAGGAACTCCAAGACTTCATAACTGTTGGTCATAGAACAAAGGATCTCATGCTGGACCAGCTGGTAATCCCCTTCTCCACTAGAACTGCTACTCTTTGTGGTCACAGTGGTGGTTGTGGCAGCAGCACCCACCACAGTCCTGTTTTGCAGCATGAGAGGTGGATGTTCTTCTATGATCTGCACACTACCGTTGCTGTCAACTTCCTCACTTTTTCTTTTCAATCCACATTTTTGATATGGCTCAAGCAAAGAAACGTTGCTTCTGTGAGTCAGGGTCTGGCTGCTCTGGAAGGTTGACGTAGCAGCACTGCCTGAGCTATCTGCAGCTGTTACAACAATGTGCTCTACCGCAGGAGCTGGGAGAAGGAGACCCTGGTCGTAAGCAGGAATACTGAAATTTGCTACCTGGTGAGAGGAGTTGGCTTGTCCTTGTGTGGCTGGGAGGGTTTTGCTGTGAGTATAATATTTGTCGTTGCTGTTCTGTCCCGAAACATCCCAGCCAGAGGGCTCTATTTTCAGTTTCTTTGCACTGCAGAAGGCACTCGACGACACTGATGGGGGGGAAAACACCTGCAGCTGTGATGCCATACCTATAAGAACAAAAAGAAAATGAGGCCACACTACTAAGACATGCAAGCTTAGCAACAGCGTGTATGAAAACACTTATAAGTGATAAAAGAAACATGATGCAATAATATTCCCCTTGTTTCAAAAGTTAATTCAGTCTTAACCTTATAATCATAGAAATACTATCCAGAAGTAAATACAGTAGTGTTCAGCTTTGCCTACTACATTTGAAAAGGATCACAGACAACTGATCAAGAAAAATAACCAGTTTGAAAATAAATGTAGAGTATCTTCTGAAGAAATGTAGAACAGAAGAAAATAAAAAAGAAAAATGAAGCTGTTTTTGTGAAAATATGGAGAGAAAAAGTGGTAACAGTTCAGGGGCTGGGAACTTACCTCAGTGGCTTACGCACTTGCCTGCTAAGTATAAGGTCATGAGCTCAATCCCCAGTATAAAAACAAAACAACAAAAAAAAGTAGTAACAGTCCAGCTGTCCTCAATATCCCCCTGACACCTCAACCTCAGTAACAGCGAAAAATAAATCCATAAATTTTTCCAGGATAAGTCAAAACATTTGACATAGCATTCAAATCAATTCATATTTATCTGCTCTATTTTCAACCACCTGACCTTTGGAAACCTTGGGATTCCTCATCTTCCTCCACATTTTTTCTCTTTTTCAATATTACTATCCTGGCATACTCTTATAATCCCAGCACTTGGTAGCCTTGAGGCGGAAGGTTGGCCATAAGTTTGAGGCCAGCCTGAGCTACATAAATGAGTTCAAGGGCAGCCCACACTACACACAAAAACTCTTGTCTCCACAAAAAAAAAAACTACCCAAGATTAATCCTTTGCAAAAGACTCTAAATTCTCTATCTCTAAATCTCTAATTCAGACCCCTCTCTTGAACTCCAAACCACATATCCTAATGCCCACTTGACAGTGCAACTTGTGTATCTTATAGACAACTGTAACTCAATGTCCAATGTTACATCCTGTATCTTTCTCTCAATTATGAGATGGCACTACACACCCTACACTCAATCAGAAATCAAGGAGGCATCCCTCATAATGAATAGGGAAACCAAGACTTATATAATGGTACTAGCTCAAGGGTCATTCTGAAAATCAAATGCGCTAACACATGTAAAGTGGTAATGCCTGATACACATTTAATCATATTCATTCTCTCTATGCCTCCACATCTAATCTTCGTCTCATCAATTCTGTCTCCTAATCATATTTCAAAGCAGCCATTTTTCTCTACTGTTATTGACACCATCAAACTGCTGTGAGCCTCCAAATTAATTGCCTTAAATGCCTTCAGAGGATCTTTGCTTTTAAACAATGCAAATCAGACATCTGATCTCTGTTTATAACCACCTTTCTCTTCCTTCCCGCAGGGTTTTCCACTGCTTTGGGCATAAAGATCAAAATCTCTATTTCTGCTGTAACAGGTCTCCAATACTGCCTTCCTACACTCCCCACTAGGACTCCTTCATTTCAGCCACCCCGCCTTCTTCCTTCATTTCTTGCAAGACCACTCCATATCCTCTCAACCCCATGCCCTCTAATGTGTTCAAAACTTTCTACTGAGAATACTGTTCCCTGACACCTCTGCCACACAAACATTCCCCTCATCATTCATATCCACCTTGCACTGCCACAGCAACCTCTGTTGCCATTAAAAATGGAAACTGCTTCCTTACTGCTACATTCCCAGCCTCAGTTTAAGTTCCACAAGGACAGATACTGTTTTGTTCTTTCCCATGTATCATTACAGCCTACCACAAACTCTATTAATACCGTTATTATTTGTTGAGTGAAAGAACTGATACCTATTTTCCAACCTCATACTACAACTGCCGGCCACTCACACTAAACTGCAGTATTTTCAAATTATTTTTTTCTTCTTTATTTATTTTATTTCTCCTATCTGTACAACTCTTACAATACGGGAGACTTCTCCACTCCAATACATATATCATAATTTTACTAGTAATAAGAGAATAAACACAACTAGAAGGTAAGGAAATAACGATGTCACAGAACATCAACTAACAATGTGTACATTTTTTTGTGCTTGACTACAATTAAAAACCATCTGTACTGAACTAGTCAGTTGAAAAGAGGAACAGATCTTTAACCTTCAATTTCTACATTGTGCCCTGGATTTACTTTTTTCCATAATTTCTATGAACTCTGAAGAGTAAATTAAAACTTAGGTTACTGCAATTTAAGTGCGATGCTCTAAATATACAATATCTTGTTCTATCTATGCTGCTGACATAATACCAAATATAACAAAAGAAAAATCTCAAACTATATATATCCTTTATGAAATTTTCCTATTAATATACAGGTAAAAGTATTTGTTATCATCCTAAAACTCAGCCAAATTAAACAAGGAAGCAAATCTTCTAAATTTGTTTTCCACATAAAAACAAAGCTTTGCAAATCGGGAGAAGAACAGAGATTGAAGGGAGGATCATGGAATCAGGGAAAAAAGTTCTATCAGGCATAAATTCTCTATGATGAACATGATTGTTATGTATACCTAAAATGTACCAATAAAATCTAACTAAAAAATTCGTTTTCCATGGGCTGGGGATTTAGCTCAGCAGTGTAAGTTCCTGCCTGGCTAGCACGAGATCATGAGTTCAATCCCCCGTACAAAAAAAAAAAAAAAGAAAAAATTTGTTTTCCATTTTATCTGTTGAGCTGCTGGTTTTAACACTCTACAAAAAAATAAATAAAACTTTTATATAACTAGAAGTACCTAGTGAAATAATCTGAAAATGAAATTTGCAGTTTGTAATAACTGACCAGGAATAGGTGTTCATAAGGTAAAACTGAAAAGAATTCATGGAATATAATACCATATTTTTAAAAATATGTTCATACAAAATACATGCTGGCAAGAATGTGAAGAAAAAAGGAATCATTCTACATTGCTGGTTGGGATGCAAATTAGTATAGCCACTATGGAAAACAGTACAAGATTCCTTAAAAAAATAAAAATTGAAACTACCAGATCTAACTATACCACTCCTGGATATACAGTATACCTGAAGAAAATGAAGCCAGCATACAATAAATACAGCTGCATACTCATGTTTACTGCAGCAACATTGACAATTACCATGACTTGGCAACAAATGAATGAATAAAGAAAATAAGTATATATTTGCACTACACAATGATATATGACAGTCATAAGAATAAAGAAATCAGGGGCTGGGGATTTAGCTCAGCGGCATAAGCACCTGCCTTGCAAGCAGGCAGTCGTGAGTTCGATCCCTGATACCGATAAAAAGGAACAAGACCAAAAAAAAAAAAAAAAAAGGAATAAAGAAATCATGTCATTTGCAGAAAAATGGATGGAAATGGAGATTATAATACTAAGTGAAATTAGACACAGAAAGACAAGTACTACATTGCCATGCTTTCTCTCATATGCGAAAGCCAAAAAAAAAATTTGAAAATTAGAAAAAGTGTTTTGGGCCAGGGATTTAGTTCAGCAGCATACACGCATGCCTGGCAAGCATGAGGTTGTGAGTTCAATTCCCAGTACCAAAAAGGAAAAAAGAAAAGAACCTAAAAGTAGAAGAAAAGGACAAACAGAGGAAGTGGCAAGCAAGAAAGGATTTGAATAAGGCAAAATATAGGCATGTATAAAACTTAATAATCTGTATAATTAATGGGTTAATAGTTATAAAAATTTTAGGGATGGGAGTGGTCACACACACCTGTAATCTCAGCACTCAGGAGGCTAAAGTAGGGAGATTACAACAAACTCAAGGCCAGACTGGGCTATATAAGGAGTTTAAGGCCAGACTGCTACACAGTGAGACTGTCTCAAAATATAATAATAGTTAGAATAAAAAATTTAAATGAAAATAAACAATCCTATGACGGGGGCTGGGGATATAGCTCAGCAGCATAAGCACCTGCCTTGCAAGCAGGTGGTCATGAATTTGATCCCCAGTATCGGAAGAAAACAAAACAAAACCTGCTAACAATCCTATGACTAAGCTATTCATTATACATTACAAATTTACTAATAAAACTTTTGTATATTAAAAAAATAAAAACCTACTCACAACCAGATATCTGAAATACTGTATTTATGAGAGTAAAGTTATTGCTAACTTTTTACCAAGATGCAAAATAACAGAGAATGATGATTTCAAATCTCAGAGACTAAAAAAGCACAAATTCTAAGCTAAGATACTTTTCTATATAAAAAGAATATAATTCTTATTCAGAAAGGCAAATTTAACCCACCCAAAGGGAAAAGGAACCACCCAGAATTTCACAACAAGGGTATGCTGTGTGAAACTCAGTGCACATTTCACCAGCAGGACTGTTACCATGTGGCTAACACATCCCAACCTCAGCTAACACAAGTAGGAAGAAGGCAGAATCAAAATGGCCTTTAAAAAACTCCACAACCTTTATTTGTATTATACTCTGAAATTAAGCTAAAAGCAGCACTTTCTACACAATAAAGATACTATATTTCAAATACTTGCCTTTGCAAATAAAGAGGCAATTCTCTGCCTTGACAACCCACACCCGCAGAAAAGGAACAGGATTAAGATCTGTTTAATTTTTACTATGTAAGACAGTTAAGCAAATTACAAATATTTTCAACTAATATGAGAAGCATTCCCAATAAACTAAAAGTTACTTCTGACTTCCTGAAAATGTTGTAGCTCTTTGTTCTAGCAATGAATGAAGTCTTTTTCACTTCAAACCCCACTTTCCAAGGACTTAACCAATGACAAATTTTCCCACTGCACTAATCCCAAACTAGAATTAAAAGGTAAATATTGGTAGATGTACTTACTGCTAAAAAGAGAATTGAGTCACACTAGAATCCAAGGCTTTCAAAAACAAAGGAACAGCTTTCCCACTCTCTGGGGCAAGGTCACAACTCTTTTAACATCATTTACAGTATTAGTACTATAAGCTGATTGATAATCTTATTATGAAGAATTCAAATATTATAACCCT